ATTGCTTTTTAACTAAACTTAAATACACTTTAGCTACTGATCAGGTAGGTTGAAGATGAAATATTTGAAGGTTGCATGTTACTTGAAGCCGTGGAAGTTGAGCAACAAGTGGAATTTGAACCGAATGGTTTAGAAGTCAATTCATAAAGGGTGTTTACATGATTTAGGGGATACAAAGTGAAAACTGGGAGTTTTTTCCCAGTTTCCCAGTTTCCCAAATACCGCCAAAAACACAAACTGGGAAACTGGGAGAATGTGGGAAAGTTCCAAACACAGCCAAAAACGAAAACTGGGAAACTGGGAAAAAATCCCAGTTTTAACTTTGTATCCCACAATTGGCATCACAAAAATGGAGTAGAAGACAAAGAGGAAACTTCATAAAATGTAGTTTGCAACAAAATAGACACAGGGAACACCCACTTTCTCACTACGGGGCATACAGACTTTTGGGCGCGGCAACCCTGTTTTTGAGATTGTTGGGCGCGCCTTGCGCCTAGGCGCGTGGCGCGCACCCTGGCACATTATTTTTTTTGCGCCCCCATCCTGAATTTCAAGACTTTTGAAATCTACACCACAGGTCAGCGCTGATATCAATTCAAGGTCATCTGCCCCGACATCCATTTGATATCAATTCAATATCAATTTGATATACAAATTGTCAATATTGATTTTATGTCGGTATCACCAGCCCTCACCTCACGCTCACACCCGGTGCCACAAAGCCACAAGGCGCCCTGGAGGGGCACATGGCAAGGGCCAGGGCTTAGGCCACACCGTGGCCCACACACCAACCCCTTCATGGCCTTCAACGGGCATGTAATTCAGTCAAAGTCCCCCTAATACGATGGCTCTAAAGTGCCATTTGAGTCACTTTGTCAAAATTGACAAAATTGACCAAAATGACCCGAAACAAGCCTTGGTGAACAGGTGCCGACCCTGGACAATGTCCAGACCCGTGGCAATCCTCAATCTCATGATCAAGGACCCAGTCAATCTCATAAGCAAGTTCTTGTTTGGCAATCCTCAATCTCATCAAGGACCCAGTCAATCTTATCAGCAAGTTCTTGTTGTTGATATTTGAAGATTTAGAATTATGAGATGAAAACAACCAAATAAGTAATTTTTCAAGCATCTGATTTTTGTTCAGATAAGTTGGACATCAAAAAAAGATTTTGGTGAAGGTCTCTCAATCCATGAGTCCCAAGTAGGGTATGCTATCACTACGCCAGATCACTAATTTACCGCTGAGTTCAGAAAATTGAAACTGTAGAAAAATATCACCAATACAGGGGAGGTCAGAAAAATTTGAAAAAATAATGATTCAATTCATGGGTGCTGTCCCCTCATTTTGCATATTTTTGCATATTTTTGCCATGATTTTTGAAGTCTCCCCAAACCAAAATGCTCACAGGGGATATTATGTCAGAAACTCAAATTTGGTCCAAAACTAGCAATATTTGGGCAAAAACCTCCAAGCACAAAAATATGAGTATTTTTGTTCAATCATCTGAACACTTGCAATTTATGGAAGCCGCATGATGTCTCTACAAGGTTTATTAAGGTGCTGAAGCCATTGTAGTTATGACTTCTATGCTTATATATGGTTTCTGCTGTGTACGTCTCTTGATATATCTCACCCATTATTGGAGACACACAGCTTTTTTGTGCACACAAACTGTAGATCCAGAATGTGGAATTCAGAATGTCAAGACATTACATGTGTTGGAGAAAAATTGATGATTTTGTTGGTGTTGCAAGGTCACTGTCTCTCTACCTGCCAGTTTTGGACCAAAATTGGGTTTCTGACATTATTTGCATTGTGGTTGTAAAAATATGAAAAAATATGCCAGATGATTGGAATGCACCAAAGGGCCCAACCAATATTTTTTCATATTTTTCTGACCCCTCCCAGATTTTCCATAATTTTCTATGTCTTCTCAATTTTCTAAACTCAGCGGTAAATTTTCAATTTGGCGTAGTGTATGTCTATTCACTGAAGGAGACAAAGTACCTGAAAATTCTAGGAAGACAAGCAGTTTTTAAGACAGAGAAAAGGGAAATAGTAGTATTCGGGGAATAAAATTGTCAAAGAAAATCAATTGGTTCATTCTTATAGGTTGTATTATTATAAAGTTTGTTTTTATTACTCATACAGTGCTTCATTATTGTCTTGATTTTGGAGTTTATTGGACTTGAACGAGTCTAATTATTGTTCTCTTTACTCTGCTGAAGTTGATAAGGCAGTGATGAGAATGTAATGGAGAGTCTGATGATTTGGCCAAACAGGGTCGTCCAGGGTTGGCACCTGTTCACTGAGGCTTGTTTTGGGTCATTTTGGTCAATTTTGTCAATTTTGACAAAGTGACTCAAGTCACAGGGGCCAAAATTGATGCTCACATACATGTGAGCATTTACGGGATACAAAGTAGAAGCCGGGCACGTGCCCGGCTTCGTGCCCAGATTTTTTTTGGCAGTAAATTCAAATTCTGGGCCCGGACTTTTGCCCAGAAAATCAAAATTTACTGCCAAAATAATTCCGGGCACAAAGCCGGGCACGTGCCCGGATTCTACTTTGTATCCCGCAATTGTAGACTTTTTTGAATTCTCCAAAAAAGATCCATTTTCTTTCAGATTCATTCAATTTGCAATTTTGGTTGTGTTCAGGTGATCAGCCTGTGTTGCTTATATTTTGCTTGACATTTCTTGAGAAGGCCCATTTTCATCTTGGATGAGCAATAACTGAGTCCAGATGAGTACTTGCGATCAGCTCATGAGTCACTGCATACTCAGCAATTTGTTCAGAATGAAAATGAGCACATGAACTATACCTTCCTCAGGCTTCATTTCTTAGTGAAGAAGCCTGAACACGGGTGTCCCTTTTGAGCTGCTCAGCAAATACTCAGTAGCATCCCTTGGCTGAATCGCTGATGGCCCAGACTTCCCTCAGACTTCTTTGCTAAAGAATGAAGCCTGATAAAAGAGCCATCCCATTTGCTCAACTAATCCTCAGTGATTTTCCCTGGATAAAGCTGTTCACACTGAGGGGCTGAGATCAACTGAGCAGCCCCTCAGCCAATACTCAGTGACATCCTTTGGATCCCTCTGATCCCAGGAATTCCCCTCAGGACTAGCTGAGCAGCCCCTCAGCCAATGAGCAGTGGAATCCTCTGGATCCTTCTGATCTCAGGAATGCCACTGAGGAATAGCTGAGCAGCTCAGTTGAACTGAGCAGATGGGCCTCAGGCTTCATTCCGGAGCCATGAAGCTTGAGGCAAGCCTGGCCCTCTGTGATCCGTCCAAGAGATGCTGCAGAGACTTAGCTAAGGGAATACTCAGTTCAGCTCAGCCCTTAATCTAATCATTAGTGGTGTCCCTTGGAACCTACTGAACCAGGGAATGCCGCTCAGGATCAGCTGAGCAGATGGATCAGCCCTTCCTCAGACTTCTTTGCTCAGGAATAACGCCTGAGGAAGGCTTAGTTCGTCTGCTCAGTTCCTGTTGATCACAAAATCAGTTGACAAGCAGAAAGAAATAGGAAAGAAATGGGAAAGAAATGGGAAGTAAAATTGAACAAACATTGAAGAAAACACAAAAATTTCAATGCTCACACCTATGTGAGCATCTGTTTTTGCCCCTGTGAGTGGCACTTTAGAGCCACCGTACCCTAAAGATGGTCTTAAGCAGGGAATGGCAACCAAAAATGCAGATCTGAGGTTCTTTGAATGGAAGGCCACATTGGGCCACACCATGCTAGGCCATGGCCCTGGCCACGCCCTGGGCCCCGAAAAAGCCGCCGGGTGTGAGCGTGACCCTCACCAGCCCCAGCAGGTGTGAGGAACGCCAGAGCTCTGTCGACTGGCTGTCAGCGGAGTCTAATCATCAGGTCTCGATATCGAACCGATCTCAACTCGAGATCAATCCGATACTTCAAAAATTTGGAGATCGGTTCGATATCAGGCCTGTCAAAGAGTTGACCCGTGGTGTACTGTAAACAACCAGAATTCTTCCCCTGCCTTCCCTCCTACTTCAGACCAGATATATCAAGGATGTCGACCAACGTTGAATCAAACCCACCCTCACAATTTTTCGCCGAAGAGGTCATCACCAATACCGGCTCAACGGCTCGTGATCATTTGGCCAAAGATCGTAATTGGATGCAATGGGTATATAACTTTAAGCCGTTGCTTGATGAACGTACCAAGAATGAAATCTGATATAAATAAAGGAAATCACAGAGTCGTTTAGGTTCTAACCTTTCTGCTATCGGCGTTCTACTTTGCTTTCGAGTCTCATTGCCTTCTCTTCCTGACCATCGTGCAGGAAGCGCTGATTGGCCAGTAAGTCTTTTCCAACTCTTATAAGGTTTTTTTGAGACAGAATAAACGACTGATTCAGCAGCTTCTTCGTAAAGGTAGGAATTGTTTTCTTTGTAGTCTCAATACTCTCGATCATAGTTGGTGTACTAGAATACTGGCAAGTTCATTCTCAAATGGCTCAGAAGAAAGTGATCGCTCATAGCAGTCCGTGAGTCCGTTTAAAGCCATCGTTTTTCAATTTCACGATCTGACCTTCTTGAGGATATACCAGGCTTACACAAGCGGCAATAACCGCTGTATCACTCCTCGTCATTGGTGTATGTTTGGAGAGATACATCACTCAAAATCATTTGACTTAGATCCATCCGGAGGGTTTCGGATTTGAGGTGTACACATTATTTTCTCATCATTTGTTGTTCAACTTTGGTGATTTATCTACATAATTTCAATTCTTTTTGTACTCTTAACCTTTTGTAAGTAGTGTCATCTGACTAATTTGGTACAGTTTGATGCTTGATCAAAGTCTACTGAACTGGAGATTGTGATTTCTGTCCATGTTGCAGTTGATGATGGGTGTTGCCATTGCTTAGGATGATGTCAAGATTCACAAAGTGTGAGGCTGAAGACTATCAACTGACAAGACCTCTTACCATATCAATCATTTTCAATAAACATAACCATGGCAGAAAGTTAATCAGGTCAATATGACAATGATGTTGATGTTGACATTAATGATACCTTGATTTACAAAAAAGTCACTTGATGCCATGTGACACATGACATTTCCCATTCTCTTACTATTCGAATACTGTGGCATAAAAGAACACGAGACTTGTGATATAACTATAAAAAATAATGGATACACAATTCATTTACCGGCATTTTCAACCCCTTGACCTTCAGCTCCAATCGCATCCATATCTAAGGGAAACGTTAATATCGCAGCCACTCCAGTGAGTTCACTGAGTCCTGTAGATTTTCATTGATCTTGATTAGTGAAATAAAACAACGAAAATCCAAAGGCTTAGATAGCTAGTTTCACTCAACTTGTACTAGATGCATTCATACTTGAGAATACCATCACTGAACCCCCAAATTGTTCTACTTGCTTTGATAATTCCATAAATTTCTTACGCTTAACTGGATCTGAGTTCCTATTCCACATTAAAAATTTATACCAGATGAGGCAAAAAAAGTCAAGTTAATATACCGAACTTTTACTAGTTGCAGACCCACCCGTAAGCCGACGAGATGTGTGACGTACCGAAATAACGAATCACTAATCATTAAAGTTCCAATAGCTCCAAAATCGGCAGCTCTATCAACATGACTTTCGCCATAGCAAGCTTTTTGTTCATCAGATATAAGTAATTTATCAAACTTTTCAAGTGCTTGAATTTCTTTTGTATATTTGGTTCCTTGAAGTTGATTAGCAATCTGAGGTGAGCTTAACACTTCAGTAAGTGATTTGACATGCGCAGAACTGATCGGTAATCGTTTTACTTTTGATTTAGATGACATTATCGCTTTATTTCCGGTCCTCTGAATCCAAACAACGCAAGGAAAAAATCAGAAATTAAATCCATTTGACGTAGATAGATAAAATCCCATACCACAGCTTCTGCAAAGACCCATTCATATGCCAAATCTTTCGCCCCTCCAGGGCTAGCGAAGACAATAAGCTTGAGATCGGTAAAAGGAAAATATTTGATCATTCCATCATAGATTTGACGATGATATTTATCCATCGCTTTATCAGTTCCCGAACCTTGTCCCGTTTTCTTTTTCTGAGCTACATTCACTTCTATCCGCTGTCTAACAGTCGTAGTATGCGATCCTATTAAACATATCGTTGCCTTTCCTGACTCATCGCATAGAACGGCTCCTACATCGGCACCTGTTGCTCCATCCAGAGACTCTTGTATCCGTTGAAAATGAAGTGAGTCCCACCCTTGAGGACCCTTGATGATTGTAAAAGTTCGACCAGCTTCAATATCTAATGTATGAAATGCGCCCATTTTGACATGTTCATTGGGTTGAGAGATAGGTCCAGAAACATGAAGTATGGCTGTATCAGGCGGAGGCTTGTTGGGGTTGATCGATGCGCCGCCTTCAGAACCATCCGCTCCATCTAAATCTACACCCGAGTAAGCTATCTTCTTCACTTCGATCGTCAAGTTAAGATGAACACGACGTGATTCTTTATTTCCACTCGTCGAGTTGGATTCACTAACGATCTTCCGTACGGCTGATGATCTAACTTCGTCCCCCTGTCATGTATTGCGCATATAGTCAAAGCGGGGTAAATCAGTTTTAGAAAGTCACTTGAGCTGCTATACATTTGATATTTGAGAGTGCATATCAACATTGGTACTAACGATATTGATAAGATTGTATGCATGCCAAATATCTTCATCATTCTGAGCTTCTAAAGTCATCGAACCTTCTCCTTTACTAATCTTGTATCCTTTCTTCTTCATCGTGAAAATTTGATTTCGTCAACCGGCTGGTAGTGCTTGTAGTATCGTTCTTCGTAAAACAGAAGTCGAGTTTAAATAATCAAGGACGAGTTTTAAGCGATCCACAGTCATGGAGAAGGCCCGAAATGGCTTGATTGAAGCAGTGAGAGTCCAGAGAAAGGGAGATTGAAACTTCACCGCCTGCCTTCAAACTTGTGACACCTGCATTCATGTCACAATTGTGAAATATCCATATGTCACATATAGTGACTTCCCCCTTCCCACTTCATACCGTCAAACCACATTGCGTTGGTCCAATGTGTACTTCGTCATGCACCCAATGAATATGTGCCTGTTGCGTTTGGAAAATTCAGATTTCTGATCAGTGATGAATGAATATCACTGCGCCCCCCCGTAGGAATCCCCGTAGGAAATCCTTCGCAAGAACCTGAGGAAGGAAATTGAGGTGACCCAGGAGCAGTAACAGAACAAGCCATCAAAATTCAAAGCTGTCCCTTTTGAATATCAGGCCCTTCTTCACTGACTGTTTGCACCGTTCAGAGGCAAAAAAATATTACCTGTGGTATATGTCTGGTATAGCTTCACCAATACTCAGCTCTTCACACGACATGGGCAGTGTGAACCCAGGCACGTCTGAGCAATTCTAAATTTGGACTAGTCTGAGGGCAAGGCTAACCCCCAAGTCGAATATCTTCCTTGCAAAAGTGAATCCTGCTATGATTGAAAAGAGAAGAAGTTCCCTGACTGCTTGAACTTTATCAAAATGATTCCAATAGTAAAATATTACGTATATTATTGATATACACTTTTGCTGTTCTTCCACCTTGTCAGAATCGAACTAACCAAACATTAAAGGATGACCACGAAGTACAAATGAGGATGAGATTGTTATGAGGTAGCAGAGGACCCATAAATACTAACTTGCCGGTGAGCTTCTAAAGGTTGATTGACTATTATAAGATGAGGCATCTTGACAGTACGATCAATTGTTTTTGTTCTTCTTGGCCGAGTTCATACATTACCAAGCTTCTCGAGCGATCTTGACTAATTGGTGATAAGCCAAGAAGACCAGAAGGACCATGACTGGTAAGATGACTAGCCAAGTACTTGTTACAGTGTTGTACAATTTGCGTCCTGTGAAGACAAGGTACCAGAAAGACCTCATCAAATAAAGTCCAACTCCAGAGTGAAAATGTCATTGGCAAGTCTTGATCAAACCTGCACCTGTTATGAAGAACGCATTGTGAAAGGGTGCTACTTTGCGTTCGATTTGAGCATCGGGTCCTAAACAAATGTCAAATATACTTCAGACGACTTATACATCAACGTAGCCAAAGCTTAATGAAATACGCTTACTTGAAACGGTCGATTACAAGATGTGCACACATAAAATAACGTCATGGCTAAAGTTTTTTCAGAGGTTCAGATGAAGTTTCTTCCAATCAGTTGGATATAGATGAAGGAGTTTTTCAAATCAGTACCAACTTGAAAGATTCCGTTTCGATTGGTCTTGACTAAAGTATAAGTTCAGAGTTTCGTCAAGACGCGTTTTCCCAATTATATTTGTGATTGGCTTACAAGAAAACTGCCTCTCGATGCTCGCCTACAAACGAGAAAATTCAGTTTGATTAATCTGTATCATTGAAAAGAGAGTATCAAAACATACAATAGGGACATGTGATTGTCGCTCGTGGCTAGTATCAAATATTAAAAAGAAAAGTTAACCAAAGAAGATTTCAAGAAACTAACAAAAAAACTCACCAAAGTAGGATCCGTATTCAAGTCTTGTGTAACCCCTGCACTTTCTCTATTATAAACACAAATCGATTTTTTTGAATCAGATTGAATTAATTATATCTTGATTTTTCTCATAAAAAAAAGTATAAAGACTCAACTTGGAATCAGCCATTAAATCATTACGATAAACCGACCATTTCTCACCACGTTCTTCTTCATTAGGAGAAGCTTCTTCAAAATAAACACAATTCCTACAAGCATAAGTTAAAATCTTATGTACTTTATCTGCCTAAAATTTCAATTCATCTCTACGTTAAAATTTTATCATTCAATTGCTCTTGATTAAAAACTTTTTCATCGTCTTACCCTTGGATAAAGTAAATTGGCACTATTGTATTTTGAAGAGAAGATGAAGTTAGATTGATTTATAAAAAATTCGGGTTTCGATGTGCTTACCAGTCTCGACAAAAACGTAAACTTGACATTTTGAAAAGGATTGAATGTGTTAAGTTGAATCAAATCGAATGAAGCGTGAATCAGGTTCAGGTTGGAACTCGAATTTCACGCGAACCAAGTTCCTCGTGTACTCTCACGTGACACTCAAAAAGGCGATAAAAGCATATACCGACATGTTACTATCGCGGGTAGAATGTCTGAAGTCACTGTTCCACAATCCAATCAAGTTTGTAATCTCATCAATTTTTCAAAATCAAGCTCACCAGATCAAATATACCAATTTAAACCAAGATGTTGGGACTCAAGGCACGGATGGTATGTGATGATGGCCCCTTCTAGAAAGTCAGAAAAAAAACAAATGCTCAAAGAATCGGTTTTTCTGCTTCGATGTAATTTGCGATGCTTTGATTGGTCAATAAACTACGATTTGGGATGGGAATGTACGAAATCAGTTGATTATCGATAATTCAGGTGGATTAGTAGCTGAATGTATCAATGTTCTTAAATTCAAAGGAAGACAAGGTCATGCAAGAATAGGTAAACTCATCATCAATTCATTCATCACATCCTATAAGAGAGATCACTGATCATTTTTTTAAAAAAACTTGTACTTATAGGAGATGAAATAGTATGTGTCATCAAAAGAGCAAGACCGATTCCACAAACCACAACAGGACCATCATCATCATCATCGAATTTATTAGCATCCAATAAAGTTAGAAGAGGTGATATTAGAAGAGCAGTGATTGTAAGAACTAAAAAAGAAACCAATCGATCGGATGGTAAATCGATTAGATTTGATGATAATGCAGCTGTACTTTTAAATAATAAAAAAGAACTTTTGGGTACTAAGATCAATGGGGTGGTAGCTGCTGAATTAAGAGAAAAGGTTGGTTCATGCTTCATTATTATCTTTTGGTGCAAGCTGATTCTTGATTTCTTTTGTGTCTTCTTTTTTTTCGTAGGGTTGGGGTCGTATTATGTCATTGGCATCTAGGGTTGTTTGACTAATGTTTCTTAAATTTGTTTGTTTTTTCTTCTTACTCAAAAAAAAAATTGTAAAAAGATTGATACCACAGTTTATATTGGTTTCCTCAGAGTAAGGCCCGTATTTGATAATTGGTAATTAAAATAAGGAAAGCCAGGCACATGTAAAAGATATCATGAAGTGATTTGAGCAAATTCTTTTAGTCCTGGTGATGATCTTGAGAAGAATTTTAGCTTCAATTTATCAATTCTGAAATGCAGTATGCAAGTATCAAATTTTTTCCTATTTACTATGCTTAACGACTGATCTAAAAAAACTATGCATCTAACCAAATCTCGTTGGCCCCATATCCAGGATGTTGATTAGGACATATTGCCATCTTTCATGAGATGTCCTTGTAGTATTGCTTATGTTTTGTGGCTTGCATTCAGGTTAGAAGAGCTTTCACAGTTGTTAGCTTTCATACACTACACCAAAATTTAGTACTTCAATGTTATTCACATACTATTCAAAGTGGTGCTTCACTTCGACTGTCTAGGGAATCAAGCTTGATGAGATTCCTAGTATTTCCATATCCATGCATTTATAAAACCCATCATAGTCTTCAGATACGCACAGATAGAAACGGTAAACTCTGGGTGACTTTCTTTAAGAATAATGTGATTGGTCGATAATCATGAAGTGGGTTCTGTTGACCCTCTGGCTGGAATCAAATGTGAATCAACTCAACATATTTATCGATGATATGTTGTACACGAATCTCCTTTTTATGTATCCACCAAGACTGCGATGTATGTGTAAACCTCCTTTATTGATTTCTACTTTCTTTGCCTTTTCTGGCTTTCTAAGTTGATTGAAGTTGAAAGTGTCGCTGTTGCTTACCCTCATGTTTGGGTCATAAACTGGATTCATTATGTACAATCAGATTAAGAATATAAGTGGTTTTTTGATGATGAATTGATAGTTTAGTAACCTTGATGATGATCCTACGTAAGAGAGACTCTGTCCAAAGCTCCCTACTGAGCCATCTCTTCTAAAAGATCAGAGTCCTCTTTCCTTGACGCTCAACTCCACTGCGATTTTTCAGTCGAGTGTTCTGAAATCAGGTCTCTTGCACAGAGAACTTTGATGGTTCTATTCTGGGGTTCTCTGTGAATCGGATTGCTGGGTAAACTTGAAAGATAACTTTCACTTCTCATTAAATTATTTAAGATCTTCAATCTTTTCAGATTGAAATCTTCTCTTCACAGCACAGCAACAACTGATCTTAGAAGTCATTTGAATCTTATAAATCATTTTGATTTCAAACTGGGGTTCACTTGATTTCTTATCTGTCAGATTGGAATTTAATTTATCATTCTAAAGCTGTGAAGTCATCGTCATCGTCATGGGCTTGTTTTCCTTTGAAGATGATCTGATTGGTTGGTGGAGGTGAGATGATTTCTGTTGACCGTTTAGCTAAAATCTTTCCAACATCGTCATTCTTGAAATCGATTCGAGCCCAGTTTATAAAATCACTCAACGCTTTCATCGCTCCTATCTTCTCAATTTGCTGATATTTCTCTTTCTCCTGTTTCTCTCAAATCGTCCTTTCGAAATCATTAAACCTTGACTCTCAATCTCATCCAAACCATCTTCTTTGAATTCAAATACATTTACATTTAATTCGATAATAGTCATGGATAGAATCTCAGGCATAAAATCTGATTATAGGATTCATAATGTTGATAGTGTTGACTTTTCTGGTGTAAAGTCTTTCAACTTCCCATTCCCAGCCTTGGTCAAGATTTTATCCTATTTATTTCATCTTACTCAAACTTTAGCTTTAATCTTAGTCTTAACCTTTGCAGACTTGATCATCACCATCTTAAATGTCTTAACACCTTCTCGTCGTATCGGTCAAACTGTTCCACTTCCATTTTCACCTGATAGGCCTCCTCCTTTCTTTGAATATCCATTTACAAATGTGATGTGTCAAGTTGCTAAAGTTTTGGGACCTGAATGTCCAGAATGGCTTAGAATTTGGTCGGTTTGGGATGGGATTTATCTTGATGGGAAATGGAAGGAGGTGAATGTTGAGGAGGCAAACAATGGATCTCGAAGCCCTTGTCCGGCTCTCAATGCATTGGCCAATCACGGTTTGTTTGAACAATCCATTATCTTTTACTCGAAATTACGTCGTTGTTCATTCCCTTCACGTGTTCGTGACTTATCACCTGTTCAGGAATTATCAACCCATCCGGTCGAGATTTATCTTTTCACCAAATCACTTCCGCTATCAGTCGAACCTACAACCTATCACCTACCATAGCCATGCAGCTCTTGTTAGGCGCTTACCCCATCCTGGACGGTCGTAAAACTATCAACTTATCGGATATATCAACTCATGGTGTTATAGAACACGATGCAAGCTTATTACGTTGAGTCCTATTTTGATATCACATGTTTCATTTTTTTTGATGCATTTCTGATGGATTTTGAAATCATAGGTCCAGATATTTACGATCCCGATTACAAGGGTTTCAAAGACACTCAGTCTCGTCCATGGTCTGATCTCATCAACCGATTTATTCCAGCTTCGCCATTACCTCTAACACCAAAGGATCTGTCACATGCGCTGACCATTCGTCGCATAGAATGCGCTAACAAGAACCCTTGTTTTCATCGCGCTTTGAACTTTGACCTTTTCGGCAGTGGTAATTGTGGTTTGATGATCGAAATCACTGATGGAAAAAGAGATGAGATACGTACTTGGGCAGGTATTGATGGAATTGAAAGGTTTGAACCTCATTGGAGACCTTCTTGTCGTCAAGCTTTTGGGGTTAGCATTCTACGTGCTCAATACTTAATGGCAAGGATCGAGTTACACACGGGTACAAGTTTTGGTCCAAGACCTAGAAATGTTTGAGACCCTTATGAAAGATGTATTGGACACTATGTTTTGGTATCTTTGATTCCAAAACACAATCCTTTTTATTTAAATCGTGTTTATGTCTTTAGCAGAAGTGGAGATGAGATTCAGAAGGAGGTGATTTTTTTTGCGAAAGTATTGAAGTTTTGTTTTAAAAAACAATTGTCAACGTATGCAATTCTATCATAGTGTAGTATAAACTCATTATGATCGTATCGAAACAGATCGAAACAGACAGTTTGATTGTTTCCTGTTGAAGTGGAGGTTTGTGTAGGTTTGTGTGGATTCACAGCCGACATTGGTCGTTCCGACCAAGATGTATAAAGATTTTGTCGTAGTTCAGGACAGTTGAAAATGTTCAATCGGCGAGTAGCGAAGGACCCTTGAATCTTGTTTTTGACAAGTCTTTTTTTCTCGTTTGACCAAGCGTCCTGCTAAGTTCAATCAAAAATATTTCCAACGCCCGTAAAGGGATTCTTTCGTAAGCTTTAAATTCTTGCCGAGCCTCGACTCTGCTGCGGCGATCCCTGTTATTGAGGCATGGTTGATAACCTGTGTCGGATCGGCTGAGCGAGGTTCTGGGTGGCATCTAGAGCGATGTAGAGTCCCTGACATTCTCCGCGACTATGTACAACTAGGCTCACCCACATGTTCTGCCCTGTTGGCCACCGGCGCAGTTGGCTGTGGCAGGCTGTGGCCATATTTTGAGCCAGTTACAGTCGCCACGGTCAGTCGTGAGGGACCTTGCGCGGTACGCTCTTCTTGTCTGGAGCAAACATTCTGGAAGACTGGCATTCTCAGAATGTTGCGAGATTTCTAGACAAGCTCGGCATTGTGGGGTCTTCGGAGACAAGACACTCGCCCTCATGTTTCTTTGCTTCTTTGAGGAGTATAAGAACACACCCTTGGAGTCCCAGCCAGCGCTACTCGTCTTTTTCCGCGTTTCTCAATCTTTTGAACCTTTTTTTCAATTTCAATCTGTGTACATACCTCTTTTTTCATCAGTGTATCTTTCTTAGTTTTCACAAGATGTGTAGTCCAATCTTTTCTTCCTTGATGATCTTACTCATGCTCACGTTCACCGAAGCAAAAGAAAAGACAATTGATACTTCACCATTGAAATTAGCGGTCAAACCGAAATGTGGTACCTTAGAGTCTCCTCGTTTTAATAATTTCAATACTGGTATCAATCTAGATGACATCAAAGTAAATCCTTCTTAATCAAAAAAAACAATCTTATTAAAAGGTTTTAATACTAATCTTTGATTTGAACATTTAGACAATTTACGGGTTTGGCGATAGCTTTATGGCTAATGGACAACAACAAGGTGGGGTTGCTCCTCCACTCGTACCAAATAAGCAAAACCCCAAGAATCCCAAGATTGGGTAAGTGAATTATAATAAACTTCATAAAACCGAATCCGTATTATCATACTTTTTTTATTTCCGAAAGTGGTCGTGCTTCGAATGGGATGGTATATATCGAACAATTCGGTAAAGAGATTAACGCTGTTGTAAGGGACTATGCTCGAGGTGGTGCCTCTGTTTCTCATTTACTATCACCTACCAACGTAAGTTTGCAAATTAGAAGAGTACTTCTTCCTTACTTTCTTTCCCTCAAAAGAAATTGCTGAGGATGTTGAAAAATGAACTTTTTTTAGATAACACAATCAGACATGATTGAACACGTTCAGGTGTTTCTGGATCAACATAATAACATCACCGCAGCCTCGTAAGTCTCTCAAATCTTCTTCAAATTAGATTCATTCACTAATCCTTTGATGAACACAGAACGCTTGTCATGATATCCTATGGAATTAATGATTGGGCTTCTGCCTCTCGTCGTGGTGAACACAACCTTACAGGTTCTGCCAGAAAACTGATCCATGAAACTAAAAGGTTACTTAAATCTGGCTTTAGAAATGTAGTAGTTCTTTGTGAGTAGGAATATTTCATTTGATAACTTGAATCATCTTCTTTTTAATTGAAACTGATTTGAGTTTAATTGATCAATCAAAGCACCTCCTATGATTTCTGAACCATTGGAAGGGTTTAATAATTTGATTTGGAATGATTTAAAAATCCTTAGAGAAAAGTTTCCATCTACTCAAATTGGATATGTTGATTTTTCTGAACTTTATACTGCTATCTTTTCGGATCCTCAATCTTTTGGGTCAGTTCTTTTTTTGTTTCAGTTTCAGTTATGATTTGATATTGAAGTCTAACAAAATCTCATTTTTTACATCACAGATATCAACATACTACTTCTTGTCTAAAGAATCAAACCACAATTGAAGGTGCATGTTCAAACCCAGATGTCTATCTCGTAAGTTATTCATAACCATATGATATATTGAAGAGAATCATAGATGATAATATGAGGCTAACCATTCTTGGGTATTATTGTAGCATTATCTTCCGGGTCATCCTCAAAAACTCACACATGGACTTATGGCCGAATGGGCTTATGATGTTTTAACGACCTGTACCTCTGATTCAACAAAACCTCACATTCATACTACCAAAGCACCAACTCTTCAAGTATCAAGGTGATGAGAATAATGGACCTACATCTTTCTTTTCCCTATTCAATTCACACATAGCACTTCTTCTCTTTTTCAAATCATTTCTATCACTTGCTCTATCTTTTGGGCTTCAACGTCTCATCTTTTTATGGACTTTGTGGGTTACATTTCATCTCGGTATCCGAGCAGTTTGTACATACAATGAAAAAATGTACATCAAGTTTCTTTTCAGAAACATAACCCATGAGAGTTTCTTTACAGGTTTGCAAAATCTAGGATGTTCACTTCATGTGTTTGACTTGTTTTCTCCCACTCCTTGAAATGAAATTGAAATATGAAAGAACTTGTTGGTCTCTGCTCACTAATTCAAGAAGAATTAAATCATGCTAACATTATTTTGAGGTGCCTGCAGCCTAGGACTCAGCTTTTTCTCTTGAACTCCCTGAGGACATACCATCGTGTCTCATGTTTTCCAAGTACATCAGATCAAAAAGAGCTTTGGTTGTCTGTTTAGAGTTGCATCACAGCAAAAGGAGAGATCATAAGGTCGGGGTTGGGTTGGGAGCATCGGGGTTCTGGATTATCTGTGAGAATTCTCAGTGAGAATTCTCAGGTCATTATACAGAGCCACGTATAGACATACATGTATTTGCGCATATCCTTGTAGCCGGATGGACCGGTCCCCATTTGCTGCGCGCGGGCCTCGTAGCCCTTAGCATCACACCTTCAGCAACCCATAGCGTCGCGGCTTCGCCACACGCACAATCCTCAACTTTTCCACCTGCCTGAATTTTTAATCTTTGCAAGTTCAACAACCCTCGTCAACCCACATCAAATGAACAAAACCAAACCGAATTCCAAGTCAACATAATCCAACATACCATATTAATGATCCAATCAAGCCAGAAACATGGAACCTCATCAAAAACTGCTAAATCACAATTGGGACAACAAAAAGTCGGGTTCTTGAATGAAAAGCTTACAAAATGCTCGAATTCGATTCAGGATATTATTCATGTTTTTGCTTGAGAAGGAAATCAAAAAAATAGAAAACGATTCAAGATTGAATTAAATGCGCTTGTTCAAATCAATAGACATAAAAAACAATCAACTAAGCAAATTGAGATTAAAAAATTATTCCTCTTTATCTCGACCAACACATGATCAATCAAGATTTAACAGATTGAAGCTTGTAAAATGCTGGATGATTTGAGTCAAAAATGGCAGGATTCCATTTCAAGCAACAATTCACTTGAATTTCAATTCGACCCCCGAAAATGAACCAAGGAGAGGTATAGAGATGAGTTTACTGGGACTGTTGTGTAAGTCGGAGCATGTAATTTATTGCATATGCCCATCTTGCGATTGATATGAGGATTTAACTGATGAATTATTTTAAATTTTATTGTTTTTGTTTTGTTTTTTTGGACGACCAACTTCATAACAAGAAAGCACAAAACAAAAGTAAAAAGGTTTTCGGATCCATAATCGGATCATCTAAATTGTCATTTTTATCTTTGTCTTACTTTTATCTTTTTTTGTTCTTCTTTCTGAATATCAGAATGCAAAAGGAAAAGAATTTAAGTCTTTGTCTTCTTTCACATTTCTACTTTTTGGGAGGTGACTCGTGAGCGTCTTTGAGTTTGAGGTGTTTTTTTTCACCAAAACCCCCAAAACGAGAAATGAGGTTTCCTCTGCTCAGCATTGTTTATATTTTGTCATTACATTCTATCTAGATTGTCTCTAGAATGATATCTTCCACATATCTTTGTGTGTTTTGGGGGTATTGCTATGTATGGGGATGAACTCATTACATCGGTTTCGCTATAGATCTGAAGCCTTCCTTAGGCTTTAACCCCTATGGTGGATTGATACCAGAATCTCTTATCAAGACCTGAATCAACAGAATTGAGGGTACTTGATAGATAGATGGGTTTGTGATGATTCACTCACATTGATCCAAGATACTTAATCAAAGACCGTATGATTTGCACAACATGGCTGAGAATCGAGATAGAGTCAGATGAGGTCGGATGGGAACATGCCTATAGACCCATGAAAATGGGTCAATTGCAGCAGCTGAGGGTCACGTGTACCGCAGTCCAGGATCAAAAGTTTGAATTAGGGCTGTGACCCGGTCCCGGCCCTGCCGGGCCGAAGGTGCCCGGCGATATTTTCAACGCTGGCGGTCCCGGCCTCGGGGCTCTGAAACCTAATCAGAATCGGGTGCAAAGCCCTGCGGGCGCCCCGGGCACCCGGCCCGGCCGACTGCCCGATCCTGTTTTCGCCAAAAATTATATAAAAATTTCCCCTTTCCAAGGGTTTTTTACTCGTAAATCTGGGCCCGGCCCTGCCTGGACACCCAAGGCCTGAGATTCGGGCAGGCCCTGGTCGGCCCTGAGAAGTTTCCAGGGGACCTTGGGTCTACCCAGGGTCGGGCTTGGCCCCGGGGCCGGCCACGAACTCTCAGGGCCGGGTCACAGCCCTAGTTTGAATACAAGCATTGGCCTAGCAGTTCTGTACGTGTTTCAGATGAATTCTCAGCTGAGCTCTTAGCTTAACTAAGCCCCTCGCGCGGCCGCGTCCGCGCCCTCGAAAGAGGGGCTTATGACTAAAACGGGTTTTTTGGCTGTGTGACTCCATGTTTTAAGTACCCTTATGTTGTTTTTCTCGTCTCTGCTCTTCCCATTTTCTTAAATTTTTCAGACCTTCCAGTATGTTATTCCTCATCAAGTTGTACATAACACAGTACCATTTACTTTGGTTTAGATGAAGCAGAAGTGCTTTGAAATCGTGATGTAAGATTGGTAATTAAGCGGCTTTCGAATTTCATTCGAGGGAAATCCAGCTGGCTTAGGTGGTCTTAGGGCATTTACAACACAGCGTAAGGCCTGTTTTTCGCATCCTCAGCACAGCTCTCAAGCCATGCAGGGATGTCTTTGCTCATGAAAAGAT